ACTATGGTACATCTACACAATGGAATACTATGCTGCCATAAAAAAGAAGGAATTCTCATCATTTGCAGCAACCTGGATGGAATTGGAGAACATCATGCTGAGTGAAATAAGCCACACAATGAAAGAGAAACACCACATGACCTCACTCATTTATGGATAATAAAGAACATTATAAACTGATGAACCAAAAGATAGATATAGAGACAGTGAAGCAACAAGCAGACTCAAATTACAGTGGGGAGGGTAGGGAGATCTGGGGGAGATAACAGATCAACCAAGGACTTGTATACATGCATATAAGTACAACCAATGAACACAAAACTCTGGGGACGGAGGGCATGAATGGGAAAGGGGAGAATGGTAAGATATGTACACAGATAATAATTTAATTTAAAAAAAAAAGCCAAAAAAAAAAAAAAAAACCCACAAAGAGCCCAGCCAGAACCTGCTGGAGGAGACGCTGCTGACGGTGCCTGAGGCCCCTCAAGCACAGCAGCAGTGAGACCGGCTCAGCAGGTTGGCCGGTGGTGACATCTTGAAGGGCCATGAGGAGACCTGCATCAGGAGGGCCAAGGCTGTGGAGCAGAGGGGTGTGTCCCTGCTGCGGGAAGTGGACACAGTATAGTGCGCTAAAGGCCAAGTACGAGGAGCTGCTGAAGAAGTGCCAGCAGCAGGAAGGGGCCTCACTGTCCCACAAGGCTGTGCAGACTGCCAGGGACCCCCTCGGGGCTGGTGCTCCCGAGCCTGCGCAGGCTCCCCCACCAGCACACCGCCTCCTGAATACAAAGCGCTCTTTAAGGAGATCTTCAGCTGCATCCAGAAGACAAAGCAGGAGATTGTCGAGCAGAGAATGAAATATCGTTCTGTCCCCTCCCCTTAAGGGGGCCTCCCCCTCTCCTGCTCAGCTCCTATCTCAGACATGTGTTGGTAGACCCCAAAGCCTGAAGCTGCTCACTACTTTGCTTACTCAGCAAGTGTGTATATACAGTGAGGAAAGAGGATGGCTCCTGAGATCAGCTTCCCAACCCAGTTCCCTTTAAAGCCCCGCAGTAAGTCTCTCCCGTGACAAACTGGCCTCTGGCTGGCGCTGCCATTCTTGAGAAGCCCCAGAAGCAGTGGGGCAGAGCTGTGCTCCTGGAGAGGTAGGCCTGGAGCTTCCATAGGATGTACTGATATACACAGTGCCTGCTACCCTGGGAAAGACCCGGGGAAACTAAGCTAAGGCGATCCCTGCTGCCTCCTGGCTTAACTTCTTAAATGTGGAAGTCAGCTGAAACCGGTTTGGCCCAGTGGATAGAGCATCAGCCTGCGGACTGAAGGGTTCTGGGTTCGATTCCGGTAAAGGGCATGTATCTTGGTTGCGGGCACATCCCCAGTAGGGGGTGTGCAAGAGGCAGCTGATCTGTTTCTAACTCTGTCCCTCTCTCTTCCTTTCTGTAAAAAATCAATAAAATATATATTTTTTAAATGTGGAAGTCAGCCTCCCACCTGAACTGTTCCCAAGCACTGTTGGATACTATGAATTCAAAAAGAAGACCATTCAGGAGGAAGTAGGGGTCTAATCCAAAAAAACAGTATTAACAAGTCTTCCACACCTTTGTGTTTCCTTTGCTACCAGTCGAACTGTGGCAGGTAATCCTAACAGATGTAAAGCACTGAGCACCCTGCAGGAAGGCGAGCTCTGCTGGACCCCTTTCGCCTGTCAACTGCCCTCCAAAGGCCTTCACCCCGCGTCCAGGCGTGTTCACGCGGAGCACAGTGTTAGGGTAGCAGAGCTCACACCTCTTTCCTTCCTAAATCCAACAAAGGGGACAAACACCTCCTGTGCTGTCTGAGCTGCTGACCTGCGCAATGCCCGCGGCTCCCGTCAGTGGCTGGGCTTGGCTGCAGGAACCCTGTCCGCTGTTTTAGTGAACAGTGTTGGTATCATTCTAACTGTGGAAATGGATAGCTCCTCCACTAACATACTTTAATTTAAAACTATTTAAGAGAACTAAGGTTCCAGTAATTGTACATATTTTTCTAAAAACCAAATAAAACTACCTATGAAGATGAAAAATAAAATACATGTAAGGAAATAAAATATGTACCAAATAACATGTTGCTAGACTGAATTTTAAATAATATGACTTGTAAAATTTGAATTACAAACTTTAGTGCATTTACCAAAAACAGAAATAAGTACCACCCTATCCTTAAATTTATAAGTGTATTTTACAAACCATTTACTTCTTCAATTTAAAACAATATTCAGAATGGTATGGGATTTTGAGTACTACATTTCCAAATCATAGTGTATCTGATTATAAGATTTTTTGCAGTCTATAGTGAGAGCCCCAATTCAATTTCTTATTTTTTTTTTATATATATTTTATTGATTTTTCTTACAGAGAGAAAGGGAGAGAGATAGAGAGCTAGAAACATCGATGAGAGAGAAACATCGACCAGCTGCCTCTTGCACACCCCCTACCGGGAATGTGCCCGCAACCAATGTACATGCCCTTGACCGGAATCGAACCTGGGACCTTTTAGTCCGCAGACTGACGCTCTACCACTGAGCCAAACCGGTTTTGGCCCCAATTCAATTTCATTATCTTAAGTAAGGATCTATAAAGAACGGGAGAAATAAAAAATTTAAAAATCATACTGAAAACACCATAAAAATATAACAAGGTGGCATGTTTTCTAGCAGTTCTTAACATACATACACACACACACACACACACACACGAAAAAATGTTAATTTAAATCCACTTTTATTCTTTCATAGATTTTAACAATTATGCACAACTTTTCACATAAAGAGAGTGAAATCTCAAGGATGAGGAGGCAATATATATATTCATTCTTTAGGATGGAAGGAAATTTCCAAAGGGTACAATGTGAGATTTAACACTGGAAAAATACATAAGAAACTTGTTTAACTGGCTCCACTGAGGACCAGGCACAGCACAATAAATACAGAACTGCATCATTTTTAAAAGATTGTTGCAATTTTAACACATTCTTACTAAAGAAATATGATCAGTTACCAATCTGAATTCTACAACATATAGGTGAAGGGACACTTAAAATGAATATCTGAGCATAGTTTCTCTAGCATTTTCACACCCACTCATCAACATTCTTAAAAAGTAATAAGAATGTACACTGCAAATTCAGAACTAAAAAAAAGAAAGAAAATAAAAGAAAAAGACCCACAAAACGAAAAACTTGGTCAAACTTTCTTTCATCATATCATTCATTCCCATCACAATCCTAGTCTGCTGGTAAGTTTAAGGTAGAAAAGAAAGTTTTTGAAATTATTTTAATTTCCACTGGTCTTAGGGCTTCTGGGTAGGAGGCCACATTGGAAGCCAACTGATTAAGCAGCACCATTAGGTCCACACCTCAACAAACCACTGCAAAATTTTTATCTTCCAAGAAAGGTTATAAAAAGTTGTATGGAAGAACACCTGTCCTGAACTGTAAAAACATGCAATTTGCAAAGATTAAACAAACTACAGCTGAATTCTGTACTGCCCGCATCTTTCCTTACCAGACCAAAAGAACTACATTACCTAAAAATTTAAATAACAACATATTAAGGCATACAATAAATACTTTATTTATGCTATTACATTGGGGTAGTTGAGATTGTTAGACACGTTCACATGCCCTTTCCTCTCCTAAAGGGGAAGGAATGGGCCAGCACAGTTGGTCAGAAGGAGTTAATGAGAAACTGTTGCTCTCAGCTGTTCTGTGGTGTGCCTCATGGTACAAACACAGGAACCTTATTTTAGAACAAATATTTAAAAGACAGAAATTATCTTTTTTACTTGACTCAGAGTCTGCTATCAGCAGATACAAGAATCAATTTCATCCTTATCAAAGCAAATGGAAACTGCTATGCTGCTAGGGCTACAGATATTCTGAGAACTCTTGTGAGCAAATGAATCAAACCCCACATGAAAGTATTAATTTCTATAATTAATAAACTGGTTGTTCAAAAATTCAATAAACAAACAAACATGCAAACATGTGACACACGCCATTATCTTGAAAAAATATAATGCCACTCTGGTCCCAAGGATGACAATCACATGTCCAGCTGGTTCTTACATGTGCAAACAGCCTTTCACTACTATTAAATATCTTCTTTGTGACATTTTAGTGTCCATCACACTCTCACATGATTCTTAGACGCTCAGGCTTCTAAGATGTTTGAGGAAAAGAAAAAGGGTGTAATGGGGACCACGTTCTTGTTGATTGTTCTAAATGTAATTTTAAAAAGACTTCCCCAATAATGCAGAATAGTCCTTGATACTGAATTTTTCCTAGTGAAACAAAATAAGCTTTATCAAAATGATGTTAATCTCAATTTGACCATCTGGCTCCTTTTTCACTTTTTTAGAGGGTACTGATCCATACATTATGCTGAGCCCCAAAATGCCTGTTTTAAAAACAACATAGTTCCTTAAATATTCCTGATTTATGCTGGGGAAGCAATGCAAAATTGAAACATTAATCATTTGTTATTTTAAAAGCAAACATGTCCGCAAAGCAGTTACTTAGCAAAATGCTAAGCTGCAAATAACCTTGCCACGTAGATAGATATCAAATCGTTTCACAAAGTACCTGTCACAATGTAAAGAAATCTGACCTTTCATCCCCATTCCCTGCAGAGACAGTACATGCAGTAGTCTTGTTTAAATTTAGTGGCGATGAGGAAAGGGCAAACCTAGGACAAGGAGGGACGTCAGCCTACATACAAATTTACAGTAGTGTAGCCATTGTATATAATATTTTCTACATTCACCACTTCAGAGAAAGGAACACTGGAACAAAGGAATGTTTTGTATAAGACCTACAAAATAAACAGGGAAACAAATGATAACAGGCATAAAGCTGCACTAGTCTCAAAGCCACACAATAAAGCAGCAAAAGTTTGAGATGGGGAATTTAGGAAAATATACACATTTGAGAGCTTGCTGAGGAAAAGGAGGGAAGAAATCACAGTTCTAATCTTCAAGGCTACGGAATGCATTCTGCATGTCTTCAAGAAGCTGTGCATAGTCGGCCTTGATCTTTGCCTCACCATCTTTCACTGGATCCTGAAAAAAAAATGACAGAATTCAATTTACATTTGGAAAATAACTTTTAGAACATGTAGTAAGTTGTTTATATTTCATATATTTTGAGTACTAGGTTAATTGAGGTACCCTGGTAAACAACAGGCAGGAGTGAAAATTATCCTGATTTCCCTTTTTCTTTTAAGGGTAGAAATGTATAAATGGTGTAATATACCAACCAAACAGAAATAGGACAAAATTTCAATATTGTATTTTGCCTACTAACTGTACTCAATGACCAATGAATTTATCCTCAACAACATGCAAAATATTGGAAAATTATGCATCACATATTTTTTTTAAAATATATATTTTATTGATTTTATATAGAGAGGAAGAGAGATAGTTAGAAACAACGATGAGAGAGAGTCATCGATCAGCTGCCTCTTGTACACCCCCCACTGGGTATATGCCCACAACCAAGGTAACCCGGGTCCCTTCAGTCCCCAAGATGACGCTCTATCCATTGAGCCAAACTGATTTCGGCATGCATCACATATTAAACGCATTTCACTGCATATATGACAGTTGGAATTAATTTAGTCAAACTAGAAATTTACTATTAACTTCTGATAGAATTACATTGAGACAGGAAAGTAAGATTTCTAAAATAATCTTAAAATGCACCACAGTAAAAATCCTTATGGAAAGCAACTTAATTGAGTAACATGTATAAAAATGTTTAAGATCTCTGACACAATCATTCCACCTCAATCACTCTACTTCTGGGAATTTATACCAGGAAAATTTACCAACAACCGGAAATTTCCCAAGTGCCTAAAAATAGGAGGATATTACTCTCTAGCAACAAATAATGCCACAGAAGAAATTTAATGACATTAAAAAGCAACTGTGATGTTGCCCTGGTTAGTGTGGCTTAGTTGGTTGAGCATCACACTATAAACCAAAAGGTAACATGCCCAGATTGCAGATTTCGGTGTGTTCTAGAGGCAACAGATCAATGTTTCTCTCCCTCTCCTTCCTCTCTCTCTGAAAATCAATAAAAAATATTTTAGAAAAGGCAACTGTGATGTTAATTTGATATAATGTGCATGTAAATAAAAAAAAAGGATATTACCTTTAATCACACTATCAGAAATCATTGCTATTACATACATATTTTTATCTTGTTCCTATAAATATTTAATTTTTGGAAATAAAATTTGAATCAAATTATATATAGAATTTCTTTGCAACTGATTTCCCCCTTCATTATACAATAAGCATTTCCCCATGTCTTTGAATATTCTTTCAAAAGAAACATGTAATGACTTGATAATATTCTCATCATAAATGCACATGCCATGTTGACTTATCCACTCTTAGGTGACATTTAAGAAGTTTAATAAACAACCTTGGACATAAATCCATATGAAAATCTGGTTATTTCCTTTGGTTATATGCTTTGAAGTAGAATGAAAGGACTCAAGGGTATGAATATTTTTAAATTCTTGGTACAGTGAGTGTCTATTGTACAGGTTTACTTTCTTCTTCTTTTTTTTTTTTTTTAAATATATTTTATTGATTTTTTTATAGAGAGGAAGGGAAAGAGATAGAGAGCTAGAAACATTGATGAGAGAGAAACATCGACCAGCTGCCTCTTGCACACCCCCTACCGGGGATGTGCCCGCAACTCAGGTACATGCCCCTGACCGGAATCGAACCTGGGACCCTTCAGTCCGCAGACCTACGCTCTACCACTGAGCCAAACCGGTTTCGGTTGTACAGGTTTACTTTCAACCGTTAGTGCAAACAATACTATATATATTCACACACACACACACACACATCGAAGTTTCTAAATCTCTATCCCTCTCCCTTCCTCTCTGTAAAAATCAATAAAATATATATATTTTTAAAAAGTTAAAAATATTATGTAATAGGATTCTTAAAAGAAGTAAACAGCAGAAGTCATTTTGGATGTGCATAGGATTGGATGTGAATAGGTAGATGTGGTAAGATAATTGTTGCTCAGCAATGACTTTAGCACTAAATTGTCTGGAAGTTAAAACAAAAGTAAGACCTATGTTCATAGCAGCACAATTTACAATAGCTAGGATTTGGAAACAGCCTAGGTGCCTGTCAGCAGATGATTGGATCAGAAAACTATAATACATCTAACAATGGAATACTATGCTGCCATAAAAAAGAAGGAATTCTCATCATTTGGAGCAACCTGGATGGAATTGGAGAACATCATGCTGAGTAAAATAAGCCAGTCAATGAAAGAAAAACACCACATGATCTCACTCATTTATGGATAATAAGGAACATTATAAACTGATGAACAAAAAGATAGATATAGAGAGAGTAAAAGAAACAGACTGTCAAATTACAGTGGGAAGGATAAGGAGATATGGGGGAGGTAAGAGATCAACTGAAGCTGAAACCGGTTTGGCTCAGTGGTAGAGCGTCGGTCTGCGGACTGAAAGGTCCCAGGTTCGATCCTGGTCGGGGGCATGTACGTTGGTTGCGGGCACGTCCCCAGTATGGGATGTGCAAGAGGCAGCTGGTTGATGTTTCTCTCTCATCGACGTTTCTGGATCTCTATCTCTCTCCCTTCCTCTCTGTAAAAAATCAATAAAATATTTAAAAAAAAAGAAAAAAAAAAAGAGATCAACTGAAGGACTTGTATGCATGCATATAAGCATAACCAATGGATGAAAAACTCTGGGGAGGGAGGGCATTTATGGGAATAGGGGTGGGGTGGGGATTGGTAAGGTATGTATACATATAATACCTTAATAAAAAAATGAGGGGAAAAAAAAACAAAACAAAAGGAAGATGTATCAGCATTTATTTTAGACATGACATACTTTAATTTTTAGCACTAGGATTCCTATTTGAACATAACTTTGAGGACTATCCTGGTTTTCCATAGCCTGAACATGTGTGAAAACGATAAATGTAAGTTTTATACACCAGGTTCGGGACTCAAATAGTTCAAAAAAATAAATAAATAAACATTTCCTACTAAAAAAAAGTTACAGCAGAAACTAAATATACCTTAAATTTCATGGAGGAAAGTTTATAGAGGATCTCCCCCATATGCTCACGGATAATGGACCATGTAATTTTATTGTCACTCTGGGCAGTGGTTTCAACAGCTCTCCGGGCCATATCATAAAATGCGATCATGTTGGACAGCATCCCGACTGTCTTGTAGAAGGGGCAGAACCTAGGGTGAGAACAGCCAAAATAATTAACAAAACAAAATCCAAAGCAGGTTCATTCTTTATGTAAAACTTTATAAAATATGAGAGCATTAGCTTCTTTACTTAAATGTGCAGATCACTTATAATCATTGGATGATATATAATGAATGAAAAAAATAGTGGAAAAGACCAATTTTTGGACAAAGATGTCTCAAAATAGAGAATGGATAGTAAATAGAGAAATATATTTTTTTAATGTAAAAAGTGATGTTTATTTTTTAAGAACAATAACAGTACTACTATAATCTAGTAGTACTCTTTGAGGATTTTTGTACAATGCCATTAAAGGAATACCCTAAATGGTAAAATAACTGAGTTGTAGATTCCCTTGTGATAGTAGTTAAGGTATAATGAATAAAAAACAGGAATGGCAATTTCCTAAAGTTAATAGTAAGCCCTCTTCCACATTAAGGAGTTCATTTAACCATATATTTTAATAATGAAGACATGCAAGCAAATATTCAACTGTATTCACACACTCTTAACAACTTTCTGAAGAATTTAAACACTTTTGCATACGTAATTGCATGAATACTCTCTATCACTCTCCTTCCAAAGAACTGTCCCCTTATTGAGTTATGTTTGTGTAGGTAGTTGCTAGAGCTTCTTAAGTTTCGGTGATAGGTTTCTGAGCCTTACTGATTATATTGTCATATTTTCTGCTTGTCTACATTTTGGAAATCCTATTTGTTCAGTTCCCTCTTCTGTCTTACATAAGGCCAAATATGATTCAAGGAGGGAAAAGCCAGCCTGTGGTGAATGGGCCAAATTATCAGAGTTTAAAGGAAATAAGAACTTTAAATGAGCCATGTTATTGCAGACACAAAAGTTAAAAAAAAAAAAACTGAGCAGGGGCTGGCAGGGCACCTATTTGGAACTTTGGTAGGAAAAAAAGAATAGATGTTTGTGAAATAAGGCAGGAAAGCAGAGATTATTTAGGAAAAGAGTAGAGGAGGCATGGGCAGTGAAAAGATATAGTGGGAAATGTTTCTGAAAGAGACAATGATCCCCCGTCTCTGCACATTAAGCCACAATTTAATCTAATTAGAGATGGTTTTGCTTATCTCTCTCAAACCAATCAATAAAATTTTTTACAAAATCTAAAGAAACTAAAAACACCTTGATAAAAATCCTCAAATAAAAAAGGAATAGTGGTACTTCCAATCAATTTGGCAGTGTAGGTAAATGTGGCACACACTTCCAACTACTTGAAATCTAGCTGAACAGATATAAAGAAGCCACGTGGACTGGTGGAAGTGATGGAGACTCCAAATAATCTGGTCCCGCACCCAAGTATCAGATGAAAATCAGTGTTATTTCTGTTGCTTAGGTCCTCCCAGGGGAGCAAGGGGTTCCATCCCCATACTATGCACCACCTCTCCCCCTTCCCCCACCTGCCCCAGCCCCGGGATCCAGTGCTGGGAAGAAGAGTCCCCATAACTTCTGGTTATAAAAACCAGCAAGGATTGTGGCTGAGTGAGACAAAGGATTCTGGAATCCCAGGCAGTTCCTTACTCAGACTCACCCACATTGAGCGCCAGCCTGGGGCTGCATCATGAAAGGCGCCTAGGACATACAGGAAGGCACTGAATTCTCTGTACTCACAGTGAGAGCTGGAGGGGCAGCTTTCTCCCAGACACAAGGGCTGGCAGAAGCCACTGTGCCTTTGCTGAGCCCTTTCTCCACACAGAGTGGGCAGGTGGGAGCCCTACCTGAGTCTTCATCAACCTGGTTAATACTGTTCGCCCATCTTGATAATTCCCTGAGATGCTGCCCTATCCAACTTGCCATTTCTGGTGACTTTTACATACAAATGGCCTCGCTGGGCTCATAAAGCAAACTTAGCAAACTGGCTCAAAGGTTCACAAATCCCAAACAAGCAGTCTCTAGTTTCAGCATGCTTGTACTTTTAGCTAAGTGGGCCTAGGTCCGACACAAGCAGCAGTTCCTAGTTTAGCGGTTCCCAAGCACCTTCAAGCTTAGCACAAATAGCAGCCATCTGCAAATCACTTTGTAGTTCCTGCCAGGTGGCTCTAGGCAGGGCACAGGCAACGGCTAACCTTAGTCTGTATCTCCTGGAAGGCCCTAGAGCCAACACACCTGATGGACAGCTTCAGACCACACTGAGCACCACCAAATCACCTCCATGAGCTACACATTCAAGGGGCAAAGTCACTGAGGGCCAGATCTCTGCTGAAGCAATTCCTGCAACATGGGATAGACCCCTGCATAGCAGCTCCTCCACTATAATCATAGCCATTCCTTGCAGCCAATATGCCTGTGCATAAATCTCTCCCAGTGATGTGTCAACAGCAATCAAGGCTCAATTGCAATAGAAGGATGCACATAGCCTACAAGTGGGCAGGAGGCACCACAAGTGCACAGCTCAGGTTACTAAAGAGGCTATGACACTGGTCCCTACAGGACATCTACCACATAGGGTCACACACCTCGCCCTGCTCTGCCCTGCAAGCACTGCCAGTATTTTACCTACAGTAGCTGCAGCCACCTTGCTTTCCACTTTGCCTCCCTCTTCCTTCTATGCTGTCTTCAGTCTTCACTCCCCTCTCCCGCTGCGTATGCAAATCAACCCCATATTTGTTGGATTAATTTGCATACTCATTCTGATTGGCTGGTGGGCTTGGCTGGTGTAGAGGAGTGATGGTTAATTTGCATATTACTCTATTATTAGGTTAGATAGCCATGATATGAAGCAACCTAAGTATTCATCGGGAGATGACTGGATAAATTAATGGTGTATACAAACAATGGAATATGACTCAAGTTATAAAAAGAATGAAATCTTGCCATCTGGAACAGCATGGTTCAACACAAAGGGTATTGTGCTGAGTGAAATAAGTCATAGAAAGACAAATGTATAACTTCACTTAGATGGGGAATCTAAAATAATAAATAAACAAGACAACCAGAAACAGACTCATAAATACAGAAAACATTTTGTTATCAGATGGGGGTGGTGGTGGTTAAGGGTTGTGGGTTGGGGGGAAAAGGTGAAGTACAAATTGGTAGTTACAGAATAGTCATGGGGACATAATGTACGGCCTAAGAAATAGTCAATAGTATTGTAATAACTATGTATAGTGTCAGATGAGTACTAGAATTATCAAGGTGATCACTTTGTAAGCCATATAAACATCTAGTCACTAGTTGTACACTTGAAGCTAATATAATATTGTACATCAATTGTAATTAAAAAATAAAAGTTACGCCAAAACCAGTTTGGCTCAGTGGATAGAGCATTGGCCTGTGGACTGAAAGGTCCCAGGTTCAATTCCGGTCAAGGGCATGTACCTTGGTTGCACGCATATCCCCAATAGGGGGGTGTGCATGAGGCAGCTGATCAATGATTCTCTCTCATCAATGTTTCTAACTCTCTATCCCTCTCTTTTCCTCTCTGTAAAAAAAATCAATAAAAATATATTTAAAAATAAAAAATTAAAAGTTACATATAAAAAGAAAAAGAAGAAATAGCAGGATAGGTTACCTGTCATAAGGAGTATATCCATTTTGTTGTAGGAAATCATCTTTGATAAGTTTGGCTACCTCCAGAGTGATTTTATCTGTTTCTGCTAGAGAAGCCTAGAAGAGAAAAAAAAATGTAGTTTTAGACATTTACTTCCATAATGTGGGACCATGGTTGTAATCAATGAGCAAGCAGAAACTATCTGAGCACACACAATCACCTACCATTTATAAATTCATTTCGTAACTATTTTTATTGATGTTCTTTTTTATTGTGGTAAAAAACATAACGCAAAATTTATTATCTTCACTTTATTAAGTGTTGTTCAATAGTATACAACATATTTACACTATTGTGAAAAAGATTTTCAAAACATTTTTTAAAATACATTTTTTACTCTGCTTCCAAGCTCTGCTTCTGCAGTATCCCTAATAAAACATGAAGGCTCATCTGTGAAATAAGTAAATAAATAAAAATACATTTTTATTTATTTCAGAGAAGAAGGGAAAGTGAGAGATAGAAACATCAATGATGAGAGAGAACATCATGCCCCTTTCTGGGGATCAAGCTTACAACCTGGGCCTGTGCCCTTGACTGGAATTGAACCCAGGACCCTTCAGTTCACTTAGCCAAACTAGCTAGGGCAGATTTTCGTAACTTCATTTTGCAAATCTGAGACTCTATACCCATTAGAGTTTATATAACAACTCTATTTTTACTGTTACCACTGCCTTTTCCTCTCCCCCACCACTCCCAGTCTCCGGTAAACACTTTCTTTTTTCCACAAATTTCACTACTTTAGATACCTTATATAAGTGGACTCATATAGTATTTGTATTTTTGTGACAAATATGTGTGGATAAAAAAGGGGGTATGTACATGTTTAGTGATAGAAAGCAACCTCACAGAGTGATCTGATAATAGATTTCTTTCTTTTTTTATATAACCACACATCAGAGCCTTGTTGTTTTTTTTTTGTTTTGTTTTGTTTTTAATAGAGAGAAGCCTGAATTTATTTTTTTTAAATGTATACAAGGACAATGAAAGATGGAAGATACTGAAACATTTTAAATGAGCTTAAAATGCAGAAACAATTAAAAATTTACATTGGAAGTAATAAGGAACAATCCTGATATTGGATAAAATTCAACCAGTGATATGTAGGTAACTTTTTTTTTTTAAATCCAACAACTTTCATTGTTTAAAGTATTACATATCTTCTTTTTTATCCCAATTAACACCCCACCTGAACTTCTTTAAAAAAAATGTATTTTTACAGATTTCAGAGAGAGAGAGAGAGAGAGAGAGAGAGAGAGAGAGAGAGAGAGAGAAACATCAATGATTAGAAAGAATTACTGATTGGCTGCTGCCTATATGCCCCAACAGGGATGGAGCCTGCAACCTGGGCATATGCCTTGACCAGAATCATACTGTGACCTCCTGGTTCATAGGTTGATGCTCAACCACCAAGCCACACTGGCCAGGCAAGATTTCTAACTGGGTTCTAACTGGGCAGGTCATGGTGGGTCAGATCCAATCTTTCTTAGTCATAGTGGTCCTAAAAAAATGTATTTTAATAGATCCTACTTCTACCCCTTCTAATTTGGTTGGTGACAGGTACAGTCCATTTCAAGAAATAAAAGTAAATTAAGCCCATATGCCAAAAGGTCAGGGCACAGACCTAGGTTGTGGGTTCCGGTTGGGGCACAACCAACCAATGTTTTTTCTCTCCCCCTCTCTCTTCCTCCTCTCTTTATATAATCAATAAACATCTCAGGTGAAAAATAAAAAATCAAGAGTTTTTTCTCACCGACAATAAAATCAGGACCATGTGAAGTGCTATAAATGACTGAAAAGAATACAAAGGCTCTAACAATTTAGTTACTTCTCTGACCGCTCTGAAGTGAAAGCCTCTCCCCTTGCATGTGGGCAAGCTCTATAAACTGCTTTGACCAAATTAATAAGACAGAAATCACATTATATTAGTTCTGGGGCCCTGGCTTCCACTTCCTTTCTTTTTTATATTCACTTTGAGAGCTCTGAACATACTAAATAGAGACAGAAATGCCCAGCCAACCCTTTACTATCCCAGACATCCCAGCCCCAGCACAAGACATGTGAAGGAAGAAATTTGCAAATAACTCCAGCCTGAGCCATTATATGACCACAACTGTATATGGATCCCAAGCAAGAACACCTAACTGAAGCCATCAAACCCAAAACCATGAGTAATAAAACACTTTTAAGTCACTAAGTGTGAGAGTGATTTGCTACTCATCAATAGAAAATCAAAGCAATAATCACTATTTTACCTTTCACAACACAAGTAGGTCTCTCAAATATCTGCCAAAATAAAGAAATAATCTATAAATGCTATTAGTTTAAAAATATTTCCTAAGTACTCATTTTGCTAAGGAGAATCTGCATACCCAATGTTCTAGCTGTCCTTAACAACACTCCAGGGGGATTTTATAACTCACCTTTCCCACAAGCTGTACAATTTCTGCTAGATCTTCTTCTTCCTGCAGAATCTCCTTAGCTTTGGTCCTCAGAGGAACAAACTCTGTGAAGTGCTTGTCATAGTACTCATCCAGGGCACGCATATACTTGCTGTAGCTGATTAGCCAGTTGACAGAGGGGAAATGCTTACGTTGGGCTAGTTTCTTATCTAAGCCCCAGAACACCTGATTTAAAAACAAAACAAACTTGCAATCATTTAAAGAATTATTTCTCTTAAAAAAATTAAAAAAAACAACACATGTATTGAGGTATATTCTGCCTTAATATGTAATTACATATAGGGGGGGATAGCAAATAATGTATATTTTTAGTATTAACAAATATAATTGAAATAGAATAAAACTTGCAATTAAAAAATATACTTTCAATTTCAAGATGGATAATACATACAAATCAAAATTTATCTGAATTTCCTTAATAGTGTGTCAAATTTAGAAAAAGAATAATTTGTTTTGAATATTATTATGGTGCAATATAAACAAATGAACAAGAAAATGCCCAATGAGCTAGAATACACACTTTTTTTGAATATAGAAAACAAACAAATACCTCTAAATGTTCTGGTTAAAGTTAGTTCCCTATCATGAAGGGCCAGTCCAGTAAGACCTAGCAGTTATTTTTCTGAGGCCAAACATTCACGTGTATTTTATACATCCCTAACTTTCTCCCCCTTTCCCTACAATTTAAAACCCAAACTTTTAGCAAAAGTTAAGGATCTTGAGAGTTGTAAATTTAGCCTCTGCCATTTCCTTTAATATAATGCTGACAAAAACATAACCAAATATTTTATTTTTCCCAAATGAATAATACACATCAACTTGTTTTCCCACCATATCCCTATTTGTACACACATTTCGCTTTCTTTTAATGGCTAAGTTGGCTAGCTACCCACTAACATTTAAGCCTTGTCACTGGGAAGCATCTGCCTAGGCAGAAGCAACATTTTTCCAGCTTTGCTTTTGTCTGGTTTGCCTAAAGGTTCAGAAAATAGGTGTGCCTTCTCTAGGTTCCCTTTGTGCCGGCCAGATGCTGACAATTATCAGGCTAGGACAGTGGTTGGCAAACCGCAGCTCGGGAGCCACATGCGGCTCGAGAGCCACGGTTTGCCGCTCTGTTGACTAATGAGTTTGCCAACCACTGGACTAGACTAAACGTTACTGTGCAGTTGGAAGCTGTGAGGATTAGTCAATTGTGACATAATGTGTGCAAAGATGTAAAGGGTAGTATATGACAGTGGTTGGCAAACTCATTAGTCAACAGAGCGGCAAACCACGGCTCGCGAGCTGACCCCTGGGCTAGGAGATAGTAGAGCCACAGGATGGAAGAAGCCCTGAATTACTGAATTACTACCAGTAGAAGAAAAAAATTGCCACAAAGTTTTTACCAATACACATTTTGGGGCTCATTTGTTCCACATCTAAAGTCATTCTAACTCGCCCTGGTCAGGGTGGCTCAGTTGGTTAGAGCATCCTCATGTACTCCAAAAGGTGTCGGGTTTGATTCCCAATCAGGGCAACGGATTAATCCTTATCTCTCACATCCATGTTTCTCTCTCCCTTCCTCTCTCTAATATTAACTAAAAAATACTTTAAAATTGCTTTAAAATACTTAAAAATTTCTCTAACTTAAAGGTTAGTATTACTCTAACACTAATAAAACTTTGCTACCTCGGATATATTTCCCACTTACAGATATTATAAACCTTAGGTAAAGAGCTAAGAAGGAACAGACAGCATTAAAGGCTTTCTGTGATAAGAATGTTCATAAAACACTAAAACAGACTTTCCATCACCTATTCTTTAGTGACTAAATTAAATACATCATGATGATTTGGATAACATTAGGACAGCCCATGGGGATAGGGGGTCCCAGTTCGGAAGTTGACTACACTAGAAAAGATATACCTGAACAATACCAAGAGTAGCAGATGTAACTGGGTCAGAAAAATCACCACCAGGTGGAGAAACTCTAAATTTAAAAGAAAAAATAGTCATTAGGAATGCTTATGAAAAATAACTTATATATGCAAGTCAATTTTAATGTAAATGGCTTTTTAATATAACTTTAGTAATGACCTTTGGAAAGAAAATTCTCCATAAAAATCTTAAATAAATAAGAATAATTAAATACCTTCTAGTTATGATAAATGAGACAGATATTATAAGCAATTTCATTATTCTAATCACACAGATGAAATAGGAAGAAAAGACAAACTCTAAGAACAAAGTGTGCTTTAAATAGTGATCATGAATCTACACTTTGTTTTTATCATATAATACTAGTGGCCCAGTGTACAGATTCGTGCACACTGAAAGGAAATTAATTAGGAGAAATATTTGTGTGATGATTACATTACTGAAAAAAACTTACATGTCAAAACAGTATATATAATATCCTATCTAATAAAAGGGTAATATGCAAATTGACCATTACTACAACACACAAGATGGCCACCCCTATATGGTCAAAGATGCCTGTCCCCATGTGGACAGAAGATTTCTACCACAAGATGGCCAGCTGGGGAGGGCAGATAGGGGTGACCAGGTTGACAGAGGAGGGTAATTCAGGGTGACCAGGCCTACAGAAAAGGGCAATTGGGGGGAACCAGGCCAGCAGGGGAGAGCAGTTAGAGGTGACCAGGCTCGCAAGGGAGGGCAGTTGGAAGAGACAAGGCCTGCAGGGAAGGGCAGTTGGGGGGATGGGGACCAGAATTGCAGGAGAGGGCAGTTAGGGGTGACCAGGTCGGCAGGGGAATGTAGTCAGGGGCAATGGGGCTGGCAGGGGAGCAGTTTGGTGTCACAATCAGGCTGTCAGGGGAGTGGTAAGGGGGTTATCAGGCTGACAGGCAGAAGTGGTTAGGGGCGATCAGGCAGGCAGGCAGGTGAGTGGTTGAGAGCCAGCAGTCCTGCATTGTGAGAGGGATCCCAGATTGGAGATGGTACAGGCAGGGCTGAAAGACACCACCAACCCCATGCATGAATTTCATGCACCAGGCCTCTAGTAGTATCATAAAACTACAACACACATGAGCTTGGTGCCAGTGAGAGTTTTATATGTAGTGCACATGCACGAGTCAACGTTTATCTTTCAATTGCCAGTGCACATCATATGTACCGGTCAGCCGGTTGGTTGGATGGTCGATGACTAAATCGTGCTGTGGTTCACACTGAATGTCAACAAAAAAACCAAATTCACGGCCGACAATGACAGATCAAAATACATGTGTGCGGTTGGCACCAGTTAGAGCTTTACATGTACTGTGCAAGTGCAAATCAACGTTTATTTTTAAATTGCCAGCGCATGTCATATGTACCAGCCGGTTGGTCAGTTGGACGGACAATCGGTCACTTAGCCTTTTATATATATAATCTTACCTTAACATGTCTATAATTTTCTAAGTTGTTCCTACCATATTGTGACTTAAATGTAATAATCAGCCAAGTAACATTTGTGGAACCAGAACATAAAGAAATGACCTAGAGAGCTCGTTGGGTGACTTTGATGTGCAGCCTGGTTAAGAATCACGGCTCCCAGAGTGGCTAAGTATTTTCTCTTCAAAACAAATGACCCTTTTTATCCTTTGAAAAGTAAATAGTTTAGGTGCTTACGCTCCTACAATGCTGACACTCCCTTCTCTTTCAGGATTTCCAAGACATTTCACCCTGCCTGCTCGCTCATAGAAAGAGGCCAGACGGGCACCAAGATACGCAGGATATCCACTATCTGAAAAATGAAAAATTATTTTTTTTTAAAGAGGTATAGGGCAGTCCCCCAAAACTATCAGTTTTGCTTACATAATAAGTGATACACAGACTTACCTGCAGGCATTTCAGCTAAGCGGCCAGAGATCTCTCTAAGGGCCTCAGCCCATCTAGAGGTGGAGTCAGCCATCATACTGACATTATAGCCCATGTCACGGAAATATTCTGACAATGTAATTCCTAAATTGGGAAGAATACTATACGTTATAACACTATAGTGTATAATCCTGACTTTTTCACCCTTGAGAACACTTTAAAGCAAGAAGTACATGAGACAATCTGCTGTTTCACCAAAATCGGTTCTTCTTTTTTGGACACACAGACGAACTGTATTTCCTATAACCTCCTTTGCATTTAGATATGGCCATGTAAACTGACTTCTAGCTAATCAAATTAATGTGTTTCACTGCCAGGTAAGCCACATCTTCCTTCTGGCTTACTCAGAGGGAGGGAGCTTCCAGGAGCTCTGGAAGGCCCGGGCTGAAATGAAAGAGTTCTTTTCAGTCTGGGTCCCAGCCCAGAATGACAGAGTAAAGAGTCTCCTAACCACCTTAAATAAACATCTGTTATATTGAGTAATAATTGTATTAAGATATATCTGTTGCCACAGCCTAGCCTTCCTTAATATGATATACATTCTAACAGGTAGAAAAGGGTTTTTTCTCTATTCTTTTCCCTATTAATATAATTAAGTTTGAAATTAATTTCCAATATAGTTTTGCCTATGTGTCACATATATACACATACCAAAAAACCCTTAACCAATTAGCTTATTATTTTTCAAAAGTAGCATGTTATTAACATGAGTAATATATTAATTATCCAGATCAGTCTGCCATGCAGATCAAGTCCTGCCTGTAAAATCACACACAGAGTTACCCCGTTTGAAGAAGCTAACCTATAGGAAGAAGTGCTGGATTCTAGTTTCTGTTCTGTCCTTGATCTTAGCTAAATAACTTCATTTCCCAGTATGGTTTCCTAATATGTTAAAATAATAAAGCTCTTGCCCTATCTACCTATATACATCAGGTTAAATGACACATATAAATGCCCTCTAAGAAGTACAAAGAACTATGCAACACATCTCAGATCAAGCTTCTGCAAACTAGGAGACACCTCTTGAGAGACAAAACTAAGAACTGTTTGGGACACTGTAAAAGGGATTCAAGGGTAGTGGCAGAAGTTCCTTGAGCCCAGTTATGGCATCAAGGAGAAGGAAGATGGGTACAAAAATAAAACACAGCTAGAGTAGCAGGCTGGAAGAGAAAGAAATCTTGTGATTTTGCTGTTACAAACTTTATTGGCAAGAGAGGAAAAGAGAAAAATGACTTACTTATACCATTCCATGCTATAACGAAGTCCACAGATTACCATGAAAAATTCCTGCTACTCTAGACCAGTGGTCAGCAAACTGCGGCTCGTGAGCCACATGCGGCTCTTTGGCCTCGTGAGTGTGTCTCTTTCACAGAATACCACATGTGGGCACGCAAGTACAGTGTGAGTGAAACTTTGTGGCCCATGCAAGGAAGTCAGTTTTCGGCTCTCAAAAGAAATTTCAGGGAGGAGGGAAGATGGCGGAAGAATAGATGGGCGGATTCTGAGCCCTCTCCCGAAGCAGAAAGAGAGAGCAACTGATGGTCTTGAGCTGTGAGTGTTTATTAGCAAGCTGGGAGACAGCGAACACCAGAAGAATCTGCTGGGGGGCTGCTGACAGAGGTACCCCTCACAGGGAAGCACCCACGCGAGCTGCGTCCCTGCCCGGAGCTACCTGGCGGCGTGGATAGGGAAACCTCGCCATCTTGAGAGGAAGATAGGATCATGTCAGAGGCCTGAATATCAACAGCCGCAGCGACCAACAAGCAACTGTGACCCCCAGAACGCGGATCCCAGGCGGCGCGAACACCTGGACCCACAGGAGTGCCCCACTGCTCGGCGAAAAGGTCAGATTTCGCGGGGAGAGGGTGGAGCGCACTCGCGGCGAAAACAAAGCCTGCGCGCAGAACGCGGAAGCTGGAGGACAAGGGCGGCGATTACAAGTAGAAGCCCCCGCTGTTGGGCGAGTGTCACCCGTGAAAGTGGACGGGGCTCCTAACAGGGGAGATATCTAAAGAGCAACACATTTGGATCTGGGGCGGAGGGGTATTGGAGAGTTGCAGGAGATTGAGGTTGCTCGGACCTGCCCCCTCCCCCCTCCGTAGTTCCTGCTTCAGAGAGGACTGAAAAAAAAAAAAAAAGCTGGAGAGGCTCTAGAGTCTGGGAAGTCAACCTAGAAACACTGCCCCCAGAGGCTAATTCACAAATTGACTCTAGTGTAATAAAAACAAAGCAAAACCTGCCTAAAAATCAGGACTGGATCATAACAATAGAGGAAGCGAATGACCTTCATTACTGCAAATTTTATTTAAATTTTTTTAAATTTTATCACTTTTTTTAATTTTTTAAATTTTTGTTTTTTAGTTTTGTTTTCATTATTTGCAACGTTTACTCAAGAAACTATTTTTTTTTCTTTTTCCTCACTTGATTTTATCTTTATAATTACTACATTGTACTACTACTAAGTTACCTTTTTCATCTTATTTTTTGCTTATTTTTACTATTTTTATTTCATTTGATTATATATATATTTTTTTTTATTTCAGGATTACTGTTCTACAGGCTTCATCTATCTTTCCTTCTCCAACGCTTTATTCTATCTCAACCTATCCTTTATGCCTTCACCCTCTTTCTGATATTTTCCTTTGGTACCCCGTTTATCTTAACCCTTTCCTGCTCTAGATTTTCCCCATTCCTTCTGTCTACCCCCTCCTAAAATTTCACCCTACTTCTATATATCTAATCTCCAACTACTTGCTCCGAGCCCATTCACACCTCCCTCGCAGTTGTCCTAAAAACAAAACAAAACAAAAGTCTTTCTCTCTAACACTTTGAAGTGGTATGTTGAATGTTAACTATACTGAAGTTGTATGCTTTTGTTTATAAGATTGATTTGATATGCTTTTTGTTTGATTGTATGTTTTTGCTAGCTGGGTTCTAGTCACCCTTATTGGTGGTTATTAATATTTCAAACTCATCCCGATTCAGTCCCCTGTGTGTTGTACCTGGTTGTGTTGTATTTGGTGCCTTTAAATCAAAGCAGGAGAGAGAGAACTACACAACCAGACATCCTAGATCATGGGGAGACCAAGACACAGCCCGCATATGAAAGAAAAGCAGGCCTCACCAGAAAAGGAAGTAAACGAGATAGAGGGAAGCAACCTACCAGAGCAAGAATTCAGAGTAATGATCATAAGATGGCTAAAAAGAATGGAAGACAAATTTGACAATATGAGTAAGAACCAAGAGGAAATGAAGAAGAACCAAGAAGAAATGAAAAATGACATCGCTACTGTAAAGAACTCAATAGAAAGCATCAAGAGTAGATTAGAAGAAGCAGAGGACCGCATCAGTGAGCTAGAAGACAAGATGGAAAAAAATACCCAATTAGAACAGCTTCTGGAAAAAAAAATTAAAAAACAGGAGGAAAGTCTAAGGGAACTCTGGGACAATACAAAACAAAACAATATTAGAGTAATAGGGGTTCCAGAAGGAAAGGGAATTGAGGAAGACATGGAAAATGTATTTCAAGAAATAATGACAGAAAACTTTCCTGAGATAGAGAAGAAAAAACCCACACAAATCCAAGATGCTCGCAGAGTCCCAAGCAAATTGAACCCCAGTAAATCAACCCCTAGACACATTATAATTAAGCTGGCAAACACCTACGACAAAAAAAGAATTTTAAAAGCAGCCAGAGAGAGACAGAAAGTTACATATAAAGGAACCCCCATCAGACTAGCAACTGATTTCTCCACAGAAACTTATCAGGCCAGAAGGGAATGGGATGAAATATACAAAGTCATGCAAAGGAAGGGTCTGAATCCAAGAATACTGTACCCAGCAAGGCTATCAATCAAAATTGAAGGGGAAATCAGGAGCTTCACAGACAAAAACAGACTAAGGGAATTTATTTCCACCAAACCAGCAATGCAAGAAATGCTAACGGGTCTACTGTAAAATTAAAGAAATAGAAAGCAAAGAAGGAACACAGGGGTATAGAATAAAAATGGCGTCAAATAAGTATCTATCAATTATAACTTTAAATGTAAATGGACTAAATGCTCCAATCAAAAGACATAGGGTAACGGATTGGATAAGAAAACAAGACCCATATATCTGTTGTCTACAAGAAACCCACCTCAGAAAAAAAGATGCACACAGACTGAGGGTGAAGGGATGGAAAAAGGTTTTCCAGGCAAATGGAAATGAAAAAAAAGCTGGGGTAGCAATACTTATATCTGACAAGTTAGATCTCAGAGTGAAGGACATAACAAGAGATAATGAAGGCCACTTCATAATACTAAAGGGAGCAATCCAACAAGAAGAAATAACCCTGGTAAATATATATGCACCCAATATGGGAGCACCCCAATATATAAAAAAACTGCTGGAGGACATTAAGGGAGAGATTAATAGCAATACAATCATAGTAGGAGATCTTAATACCCCACTGTCACCCTTTGACAAGTCATCTAAACAAAAAATCAGCAAAGAAATATCAATCCTAAATGACTCGCTAGACCAGATGGAATTAATCGACATTTTCAGAACATTCCACCCCAAAGCCACAGAATATACATTCTTCTCAAGCGCACATGGGACATTCTCAAAGATAGACCACATTTTGGGACATAGGCAAAGTCTCTTCAAATTCAAGAAGATAGAAATCATATCAAGCATCTTCTCAGATCATAGTGGCATAAAACTGGAAATTAACTACAACGAAAAAAATCCAAAGAAATCAAACACATGGAGATTAAACAGCATGCTATTAAACAAGGACTTGGTTACCAGAGAAATCAAGGAAGAAATTAAAAACATCCTGGAAACAAATGACAATGAAAACACAACTATCCAAAATCTATGGGACACAGCAAAAGCAGTTTTGAGAGGGAAGTTCATATCCCTACAAGCCTATTGCAAAAAACTAGAAAAAAGGGTAACAAATGATCTAACTCTACAACTCAAAGAGTTAGAAAAAGAGCAACAAGAAAAGCCCAGTGTAAGCAGAAGGAAGGAAATAACAAAAATCAGAGCACAGATAAACGACATAGAGACCAAAGAAACAATACGTAAGATCAACAAAACCAAGAGCTGGTTCTTTGAAAGAATAAACAAGATAGATGGACCCCTATCCAGGCTAACCAAGAAACAAAGAGAGAGGACCCAAATAAACAAAATCAGAAACGAAAGAGGTGAAATAACAACAGATCCCGCCGAAATACAAATGATTGTTACAAAATACTACGAACAGCTCTATTCCAATAAACTGAACAACCTGGAGGAAATGGACATATTCCTAGAAAAATACAACCTTCCAAAACTCAATCAGGAAGAATCTAAAAATCTAAATAGACCAGTGACTTGGGAAGAAATTGAAACAGTCATCAAAAAACTTCCAGCAAACAAAAGCCCAGGGCCAGATGGCTTCACAGGAGAGTTTTACCAAACATTCAAGGAAGAACTAAAACCTATCCTCCTCAGATTATTCCAAAAAATCCAAGAGGAAGGAACACTTCCAAATTCCTTCTATGAAGCCAGCATCACCCTAATACCAAAACCAGATAAAGACAACTCAATGAAAGAGAATTACAGGCCAATATCCCTCATGAACATAGATGCCAAAATCCTCAACAAAATTCTAGCAAATCGGCTCCAGCAGAGCATCACAAAGATCATACACCATGACCAAGTAGGATTTATTCCAGGAATGCAAGGATGGTACAATATCCGCAAATCAATAAACGTGATACATCACATAAACAAGTTGAAAGATAAAAATCATATAGTCATATCAATTGATGCAGAAAAAGCATTTGATAAAATCCAACACCCTTTCCTGATAAAAACTCTCAACAAGGTGGGAGTACAAGGATCATACCTCAACATAATAAAAGCTATATATGATAAACCCACAGCCAACATCATACTCAATGGGCAAAAACTAAAACCATTCCCTCTAAGAACAGGAACAAGACAGGGATGCCCACTTTCGCCACTCCTCTTTGACATAGTACTGGAAGTACTAGCCATTGCAATTAGACAAGAGGAGGAAATAAAAGGCATCCAAATTGGAAAAGAAGAAGTAAAGCTATCCTTATTTGCAGATGACATGATATTGTACATAAAAAACCCAAAAGACTCCATTAAAAAACTAATTGGCTTAATAAATGAATTTGGCAATGTAGCAGGATACAAAATTAACGCCAAGAAATCTATGGCATTCCTATACACCAACAGCGAATTTATAGAAACAGAGACTAAAAAATCAATTCCATTTACCATTGCACCAAAAAAATTAAGATACCTAGGAATAAATTTAACTAAGGAAGTAAAGGACCTATATGCGGAAAACTACACGACACTGAAAAAAGAGATAGAGGAAGATGTAAACAGATGGAAGAACATACCATGTTCATGGATTGGTAGAATCAACATCATCAAAATGTCCATACTTCCTAAAGCAAATTATAGGTTCAATGCACTCCCCATTAAAATACCAACGGCATACTTCACTGACATAGAAAGAACTCTCCAAAAGTTCATTTGGAACAATAAAAGACCCCGAATAGCCACAGCAATCCTGAGAAAGAAGAGTAAAGTAGGAGGGATCTCAATACCAGACTTCAAACTGTATTACAAAGCCACTGTTCTCAAAACAGCCTGGTACTGGCACAAAAACAGACATATAGATCAATGGAATCGAATCGAGAACCCAGATATCAACCCAAATCACTATGCTCAATTAATATTTGACAAAGGAGGCACGAATATACAATGGGGTCAAGACAGTCTCTTCAATAAATGGTGTTGGGAAAATTGGACAGATACATGCAAGAGAATGAAACTGGATCACCAACTTACACCATACACAAAAGTAAACTCAAAATGGATACAGGACTTAAACATCAGACGGGAAACCATAAAAATACTAGAAGCATCCACGGGCAGCAAAATCTCAGACATATGCCAAAAGAACTTCTTCACTGATACTGCCCCTAGGGCAATGGAAGCTAAAGAGAAAATAAACAAATGGGACTACATCAAAATAAAAAGCTTTCTTACAGCAAAAGAAACCATCAACAAAACAACAAGAAAGCCCACGATGTGGGAGAACATATTTGCAAATGTTACCACTGATAAAGGTTTAATCTCCAACATCTACAAACAGCTTATACAACTAAATAAAAGGAAGATGAATGATCCAATTAAAAAATGGGCAATGGACCTAAATAGAATATTTCCAAAAGAAGACAGAAGGAAGGCCAAAAGGCACATGAAAACATGCTCAAAGTCACTAATTATCTGAGAGATGCAAATCAAAACAACAATGCGGTACCATCTCACACCTGTCAGAATGGCCAACATCAACAGATCAACAAACGACATGTGTTGGCGAGGCTGTGGAGAAAAGGGAACTCTTGTGCACTGCTGGTGGGAATGCAGACTGGTGCAACCACTGTGGAGAACAGTGTGGAGTTTCCTCAAAAAACTGAAAATGGAACTCCCATTTGACCCAGTAATCCCACTCCTAGGAATATATCCCAAGAAACTAGAAACACCAATCAGAAAGGATATATGCACCCCTATGTTCATAGCAGCACAATCTACAATAGCTAGAATTTGGAAACAGCCTAGGTGCCCATCAGCAGATGATTGGATCAAAAAACTTTGGTACATCTACACAATGGAATACTATGCTGCCATAAAAAAGAAGGAATTCTCATCATTTGCAGCAACTTGGATGGAAATGGAGAACATCATGCTGAGTGAAATAAGCCAGTCATTGAAAGAAAAACACCATATGACCTCACTCATTTGTGGATAATAAAGAACATTATAAACTGATGAACCAAAAGATAGATATAGAGACAGTATATCAACAAGCAGACTGTCAAATTACAGCGGGGAGGGGAGGAAGATCTGGGGGAGATAATAGATCAACCGAAGGACTTTTATACATGCACATAAGTACAACCAATGGACATAAAACTCTGGGGAGGGAAGGGATGTGAGGGAGGGAGGGGGGGAAAAATCAAAAATATATATATATATTAAAAAAAAAAAAAAGACTGAAGAAAGGACCTCTTTTCCACTATTTTGAATGCTTAATAGCTAATTTCATAACATCACATGTACCATTTTAAGAAAGTGATGATTTAGTGGGAAATTAAAGCTTTGCATCTGTATACTGTAAATATAAATGACGATTTGTTTGAAATGTGTAACTTGGATATGCAAAAGATAATAACTCACAATGTTAATATTAAATATTCCTTCAAAATAAAATAAAAAAAAAAAAAAAAAAAAAAAGAAATTTCAATCGTACTGTTGATATTTGGCTCTGTTAACTAATGAGTTTGCCAACCACTGCTCTAGACCATAACAAAAGTCACACCCTCCCATATCCTGCAAAGATGAATAATAGTATTAATAAACATCAGTATAAGAACAAAAATAAAAATAGAAGCAAATAGAAGAATAAAATATAATGATGACAAAGGAACAGATAAAAACTCTGAATATAATTAATTAATAAAAGAAAATCTTAATTCATCCTACTGCAAAGTAAAATCTCAAGGAATATACAGTAAGATCAGAAAAGATGTTTCATGAACCAGCAGAACTCAACAAAGAGCTGGAAGAAAATGAAGGTCTCATTAGGAGCAACATAAAAAATAAACACCATAGAACTTACAGACAAAAGGATAAATAAAAAGGATTACAGGAAATTATGCATATAAAAATAGATAAAAGAAATTCAGTATGTCTACTTTGAAGAAGATAACTATAATGGAAGAAAAAGTTTCAGAAACTATCCTTGAATTTTTCCAAAATAAGAAGCATGTTTATAGATGCTAGAATAAGAATTGTCAAGGAATGAAAAACTCAGTAAACTATTGTAAAAATAGAAAGGCAAGAGAAAAAAACAAACTTATAAAGAAAGAATTCAGGAAATGTAGTTTCCTTAGCCTGCCTTCCTTCCTTCCTTTCTTTTTTTAATTTATTTTACTGATTTTACACAGAGAGGAATTGAGAGGGACAGAGAGTTAGAAACGTTGATGAGAAAGCAACATCGACCAGCTGCTTCCTGCACACCCCCCACTGGGGATGTGCCCGCAACCAAGGTACATGCCCTTGACTGGAATCGAACCCGGGGCCTTTCAGTCCGCAGGCCGATGCTCTATCCACTGAGCCAAATCGGTCCGGGCTCCTTAGCCTTTCTTTAAGAAACTTCCAAAAATTTTAGCCAACCACAAAGCAAATAGAGAAACTATAGTCAAAGGACTACCAGTGAGCACTGACTTCATTTTATTATAGGTCTAAGTCTAATACAGATATTAGATTTATGATCACAGAATATAAGGTAAAAATTATAAATCCTGAAAATGTAGAAATAAAATTACCAAAAGCTGGGATGGATGTAAGAGGATAGATTGAAGGTACTATATAAACACAGTGATATTCTTTCCTTTCATATCCAGGAGTCAAAATATAATAATTCAAAGCTGATGATTCATGTTATAGAGATACAAGTTTATTCAGAGATAGATTGATAGTCAAAAGTGTATGGAAAAAAAACACAGTAATAAAAGATATAACATTTTATAGTCATTAAAAAGATTGGGGCAGCTTTATAAATGTCTTTTATTGATATATTCTCAAGATATAGGTAAAATATTTTTTAAAAACGAGGGATACAGTTATATAAACAGAGGTACTTTAGAATGAAAGAAAAGTTCTTTGGAAAAAAAGAAGTTTGGTGTTAGCTCTAAACTTAAGAATGAATGTTAACGGCTTTTATTCTAATTCATATACTCACCAGTATAAATAGAGGCTTCCCTGGCAGCTACAGGCATGTTGGAGGTATTGGCTACCAAAGCTGTCCTCTTCATAATTGACTCTACCTTACCATCAACTTCCATTGTGAGCTAGAGGCAAACAATCTATTAGTGATCTTCTAGTTTATAAACAGAACATTTTAGTCTCTTTCTTACAAACTGTCTATATTTAACCTCTCTTCTAATCAGTGTTGCCAAAATAATATTCTCCATCTCATCTCTCTGTCCCACTGTACTGTAAAAACAACAGCCATTATTTCCATTTCCCAAGTGAAATCCATTATTTTATAGAAAAGGGATTATTACTACAGTAACCTAGAAAATCATATAAAGCCTATTGTCTATTTTATATATTCCCAATAACTGAAAATCATCAGACTACTTTCTAGTGTTCTGTCTGGCTGAAACAAATTCCTTCCCTTAAATATATAAATTGAATCACGAGTATAATTAGAAAATTCCTTAAAGACCCTTGATAAACAAGAGTAATGCTCCAGATATAACACAAAACTTTATTAATTGCTAGTGAAAGTTGATTAGTAGTATTTTCTCTAAAATATTCCTTGAAACTCTATAGATACAGACCTCTGGGAAGTCACGGAGAACTTCAGACATCTCATTTCCTCTTTCACCACATCCTACATAGATGATTACGTCACTGTTGGAATACTTGGACAGAGACTGCGAAATCACTGTCTTTCCACAGCCAAAAGCCCCCGGGATTGCAGTAGTTCCTCCCTGCACACATCTAAACAAAGAAGACAAAGTGTAAATTACTTTACTTGCTAATAAATGCCAATAAATAAAACAGGTATAAGTTAAAGAAAGAACTTTGAAATATTTTCATGTGTATCTATGTAAAAAAGCAATTATAGGTATAATTGTTCCCCTAGTTAGTACCTATAATAGTATTGTTTGTTAATCACTGATCATCTCTGTCAGCTTTAAAAGTTGAAAAGTGAAAGTAGATTCCATAAGATACCCTAGGAAAAGGGATACACACACACACAAAAAAAAGACAAATAAAATGGTATTGATATTCTGAATGCTTATTGAAATTAGTTCATGAAAGGACAATTTATGAATTAGAGCTATAATAAAAATATAAGACTAATGAAAGTTGTCTCCTAAGGTAAAAAGACCTTAAATTCACAAGTTGCTGTGGGAATTAATAAAAACTTTTGATAAGGTATTCAGTCAACCCCTTTTATCCATTCAATAACTATTTACAAAATACTTCCAGAACATTAAAAAATGTGCGTGGAAATGAAAGACAACAGAAAAGAAGATAGCCATGTTTGCCTTGGCTGGGTGGATCAATTGGATTCAATTTCCAAAAGTTGTTCTGGCTAGGGCCCATACCAAGGTTGCAAGTTCCATCCACAGTCAGGGCATGTACGGGAAGAAACCGATGTTTCTCTCTCACACTGATGTTTCTTTCTTTTCTTCTCCTTCTCCCTCCCATATTTCTCTCTCCTTCCTTCCCTCTAAAAATCAACAAAAACTATCCTCAGATGAGGATTTTAAAAGAAAAGATAGCCATGTTTCTATATTTAGAGTGCTTATATGCCAGGGGGATAAACTGCAGTCAGCTGGTGATTGCAGTACTACTTAGCAGCCACTTCCACATTTTCCCTAAAATGTGGCAGTGCAGAGTGAAATAATCTTAAGGGCAGAGGAAAGTGTGTGTGTGTGTGTGTGTGTGTGTGTGTGTGTGTGTGTGTGTTGGGAAGGTCTGGACTGGAGAAATAAGATGTGACAATAAGGAAATTTTCTTTATAATATTGTGTTTTATCATAAAAATTCACTAAAACATGCCAAAACCAGTTTAGCTCAGTGATAGAGCGTCGGCCTGCGGACTGAGAGGTCCCAGGTTCGATTCCAGTCAAGGGCATGTCATTGGTTGCGGGCACATCCCCAGTAGGGGGTGTGCAGGAGGCAGCTGGTTGATGTTCCTCTCTCATCGATGTTTCTAGCTCTCTATCCCTCTTGCTTCATCTCTGTAAAATATCAATAAAATATATTTCTTTAAAAAAAAATTCACTACAACACTGCATTCTTAATAATAATTGACTTTTTTCAATATAAAACTAACATGAATTAAAATATTTTCTCCTCCAAATCTTTCAGTGTCTGATAAATTCAGAAGGCATGCCCATTCATCCAATGGCTTTACATACCTCTTTCAAATCACTATTAATCAAGGGAGAGGAGGCAGGGCTGGATGCGCCCCAGTTTGGAAGTTCAGCAATGTGAAAAGTGCTAAACAACCAAGGTATTGTGGGAATACACAGGAACTGGTGCACAGTCTAACACTGGATTGGAGTGGGGTTAGGAAAGTCTCCCTGAAAGAAGATAAGACCAGAAAGGAAAGAGAAATCAGTCAGATAAAGGGAAGTAACATTTTCAATAGAAGGAACAGCATGGCCAAGACCCAGGAGGGAGCACTGCTTGAGAAATTAACAGTCCTCAGTATGCCTAGAAGATGGTATATAAGGAATTAGCTAGGCAATTAAGTGCCTGAAACAATATTGAAAGGTAAGCAATGCCCAGATCATGGGTAAAGAGTTAGTGAGTGTGTATTTGTATTTGTTTTAAAAGCAATGAAGAGCACTGAAGGTTTTCAAGAAAACAGTGAGGAACAAGACATGTTTTAAATGAATCACTATGTAATAATAAGGACAACCACTTAGGAGGCAAGATTGGAGATAGCAAGTCTGATTAAATGTGATTATTGCAGGAATTAGTGTAAGAGCCTTAATTAGGGTCATGAAGCAGAGATGAAAGATACAGGCAAGAAATATTTAGAGAAAAGAATAAAAGCACTTGTTCAATGATGAGATGTGGAAGGGTAAAAATGATCCTTGAGAGAAGTAAGGGATTTTAGATTAGACATTCACTGCAGGGATGTATGAATGATAATGACATGTGCTGAGAGAGGCAACAAAGAAAAAAGGAACAAGTTGTAAGGAAGGAAGTGGTGATTAAGATAACTGCTTTAGTTTTGAACATACTGATTTTGAGGCACCTGTAGGACACTGAAAAGGAGAGGTATAATCAGAAGTGTTGTATATATGAGCCTGGAATTCAGAAGAAATATATATGTGAATATTTAAGTGATGAGAGTGGATGAAGTTATCCTCAGAGGGTAAAATATCTAATGAGTAAAAAGACCCTAAAAGAGGAAAAACACTAAGAAATAACAAAATTAAGGAGAATAAACCTGCAATAAAGAATTAGAACTTGTGGACAAAAGCTAACATGAAGAACAAAGAAAGAAGGTGTTTCAAAGAGGAAGGAATGTAATAAAATGCACTTATTGAATTAAGTTTGGGAGTGACTAAGTTAGTGAGAGTAGTTTCAGTTGAGTGGTGGAGCCAAGGGCAGAGTAGTATTGGTGAATTAGAGGGAAAGGTGGAAAGAACTATCCCTTCTTCTCAGAGGTGTGGCTGTGAAAATGAAAATAGTGGAAGGTAGAAAGGGGAAAGTAAAGAATTTCTCTAGATAAAATGTATTATAGGGTTAGCCCATAAAATATTTATCTATAAAAAATATTTTCTTCTCAAAAAGAAACACTATATGCTCTTATTACCTTTACCTCATAAGCACCTGGATATAACATACAGCACAGGAAATATTTAATACTATAGTAACTTTGCATGATGGCAGTTAGTTATTGGGCTTACTATGGTGATAATCACTCAGGGAAAACTGGGACACAACTCAAACTTACGGAAAGAGGGCATCAAGGATTCTCTGGCCAGTCAACAAAGGATGATTGGCAGGCAACTTCTCAGTGACAGGCCGAACTTGACGTACAGGCCATACCTGGACCATGCTGAACTTATCCTTTACACCTTCAAATTCCAACTCCAAGACAACATCCTATAAAAACACATCAAGATTTGTAGCACAGTCAAATTTATAAACATCTATTCCTCTAAATCAAAGTAACCTCAGATTCTTCTTGGTGGTAGCAAGGTGTTTTGTAGGGAAGTGAGGAGGTAGATTTATACTTTTTATTGTAAATCTTTATATTCAGTTCTTTTACTGTTTAGCACTTATTACTGTTTTTATGATTAAAAACAGCTTAGGAGTGTTTGAGAAAAAGATAGCTCAAGTAACAGAGGAACAGTTAATTAAGTTATGAGGATCTGCATAGGGAAAAGTCTGGAAGGATGCAGGAGATATTCCTGGGACTGAGGGAGAGGAAAAATGAATGCTTTCATAAATTACTTTCCATTTGTTGTTTTATTTACTTTATTATAATGCTCCTATAACTGCTTTAATGAAAAACACATCTATTAACCCTAAAATATTTGCAAAATCCAAAAAATAATTAGTAATACTCTAAGATTTATGATCATTGACATAGTTTCAACTATTCAGAAACAATTCCAAAGCCCAAAGACCTATAAAATCTGTAATTCTGTTGATACATGAACCACTTTAGGGTGGGTTTCCATGTAAAAATGAATGAGTCTTTAAGCTATTGAGTTAAGGCTAGCTGACTGTCCAGAACTCCAATCTTAACTCTTGTTCTCTATGTATTATATAGCACAGACTTATTCGACTTATTCTTGTGAAATAACTAGAAGGTTATCTTTTATCACATTAGGAAAAAATGATATGCTACACTTGTCTTCACAATAGTTATCTTCATAGTCACAAAGACTATTAGGGAATTGATATGATATGACTATCAATAACATTAAAGAATTATGTTTTAAATGACTCACCCAAGAATTCATATAATCCATTATGCAATTAATTATGTGACTACAGATTGACAATTAAAATCAAAATCTTTTCTAAGTATAAAGAATCAGGACTTTAAATAATGTAGCATAAATTCACAAGGTAAGAAAATGTTATACTAGAGGCCTTGTGCACAGTTTCATAAACTGGTGGGATCCCTCAGTGTGGCCTGTGGGGATTGGGCTGAAACCGTTAGCCCAATTCCGCCTACCACTCCCCCTCATCCTGGCCCTGCTACGCCTGCCGCAGGCTCCAGCCCAGTCAGTATCTATTGGGAAGCTGGTGCCACCACAGCGATGCTTGCCAGCTGTGAACCCTGTATCTAGTGCCCATTGGTCAGTTGAGCAGGGCTCCTGCTGTGGGAGCGCACTACCAGGGGACAGCTCCCTTGTTGAGCATCTGCCCCTGGTGGTCAGTGAACGTCATAAGAACTGATCATTTGGTCGCTTAGGCATATATATATATATATATATATATATATATATATATATATACACACACACACATACACACACACACACACACACTAGTGGCCCAGTGCACAAAATACATGCATTCAGGGGTGGGGGGTGTCCCTCAGCCCAGCCTGCACCCTCTCCAATCAGGGACCCCTTGGGGATGTCTGACTGCTGGTTTAGGCCGGATATCTGTAGGATTGGGCCTAAACTGGCAGTCCGACATCCCACTTGCAATCTGGGACTGCTGGCTCCTAACCACTCACCCGCCTGCCTGCCTGCCTGCCTGATCACCCCTAACCTCTATGCCTGATTGCCTAATCCCCCCCTAACTGCCCCTGCCTGCCTGATCACTCCTAACTGCCCACCCCTGCTTACCTGGTCGCGCCCAACTGCCCTGATCTCACCCCCAATGGTCCTCCCTTGCCAGCCTGATCCCACCCCCAACTGCCCTCCACTGCTGGCCTGATTCCACCCCTAACTGCTCTCCCCTGCCAGCCTGATCACCCCTAATTACCTCTGCCTGCCTGACCGCTCTTAACTGCCCCCTCCTACTGGCCTGATCTCACCTCCAATTGCTCTAACCCCAATTGCTCTCCCCTGCTGGCCTTATCACCCCTAACCTTATCGGCCCCACCACCGTGGCTTTGTCTGGATGTCTGGAAGGATGTCTGGAAAATGTATAGTCTAATTAGCACATTACCCTTTTATTAGTATAGACTAGAGGCCTGATACACGAAATTCATGATTGCCCTAACCTCATCTGCCTGCCAGCCTGATCACAGCCTAGCCACTCCCCTGCCAGCCTGATCACCCATAACTGCCCTCCCCTGAAGGCCTGGTCCTCCCTAACTGCCCTCCCCTGAAGGCATGGTCAACCTTAACTGCCCTCTCCTGCAGGCCTGGTCCCCCTCAACTGCCCTTTACTGCAGGCCTGGTCCCCCTCAACTGCTCTCCCCTTTAGATCTGGGTCCGCGCCAACTGTCCTTCCCTGCAGGCCTGATCGCCTACAACTGCCCTCCCTTGCAGGCCTGGACCCTCCCACTGTCCTCCCCTGATAGCCATCTTGTGTCCACATGGGAGCAGCCATCTTTGACCACATGTTGGCAGCCATCTTGTGTGTTGGAGTGATGGTCAGTTTGTATATTACTCTTTTATTAGATAGGACAGAGGCCTGGTACACGGGTGGGGGCCGGGTGGTTTGCCCTGAAGGGTATCCCGGATCAGGGTCAGGGTTCCCTTGGTGGTTAGGGCGGTCTGAGCGAGGGGCCTGTTGTGCTTTGCAGGCCGGCCACGTCCCCGGCAGCCCAAGCAGAGGCCCTGGTATCTAGGATTTATTTATCTTCTATAATTGGAGCTTTGTAGCCTTCAGTGGAGGCCAGGGCGGGCAGAAAGCTTGACTTCCTCCATCACTGGGGACAACCCTAGCTTCCTGCTCTCTCCAGCTCTATGGCCTCCACCATATTTGTTGGGTTAATTTGCATACTCACTCCTGACTGACTGGCGGGCGTGGCTTGTGCGCATAGCAGAGGTAAGGTTAATTTGCATGTTTCTCTTTTATTAGATAGGACTAGAGGCCTAGAGCACAGAATTAATGCATGGGGGAATGTGTCCCTCAACCTGGCCTGTGCCCTCTCGCAATCTGGGACTGCTCAGGTAGGGTTCTTAGGCCTGGCCAGTGATCAGGACCTATTGGGTTTGCCTTACCCTGGTTGCCAGCAGCTGGCCCTGCCCCCGCCCCTGCTTGCCATATCTGTGCAGCACTGCCTCCCCTCCCCCACCACTGGTCACCTCCCTCTGTGGGTGACAGGTGTGGGGTGCAATCCCTTGGCTGGCCTGGACCTCCCTCTGCGGGGCGATCGCCAGCTGGCCACACCCACCCACCACAGTGTTGCTGGCCGTGGCCTGGGCTTTTCTGTGGGGCTCCTCAATTGATTGCCCAGCAGAGGGAGGCCCTGCCCAACCACCTGGGGCTCCATGATCTATATTGCTTCACAGAGAAAGGCCCTGCCCACCTGCCACAGTGTAACTAGCCCAGTAGCCTGGGCCTCCTCTGCAAGGCAATCATGGGGCGATGGTGGGGCTCCCCCCTAAAGATCATATCGCACCTGCCTTGGCTGGCCTGGCCCCAGTGTGTGTCATAGTGGTCTGGAAGGTCATCCAGACAATCATTCCACCGTTCAGTCATTCAGTCAACTTATATGTTATGCTTTTATTATTATAGATAGTTTTCTCTCAAAAAAGAAACACTATGGCCTGGCCAGCATGGCTCAGTGGTTGAATGTCAACTATGTAACCAGAAAGTGTTGGTTTGGTCAGTGCACATGCCTGGGCTGTGGTCTTGATATCCTGTGGGGAGTGGACAGGAGGTAGCCAATCAATGATTCTCTCTTATCATTTATGCTTCTATCTCTCTCTTCCTCTCCCTTCCTCACTAAAATCAATAAAAATATTAAGAAAAAAAAAAAAAAAAGAAACACTGTGTTCTCTTATTCCCTTTACCTAATAAGCATCTGGATATAACATATAGCACAGGGAATATATCAAGAATATAGTAACTTTGCTTGATGACAGATAGTTACTAGGCTTACTATGGTGATCACATTGCAGGGTACATAAATGTCAAATGACTATGTTGTTCACCTGAACCTAATATAATATTGTATGGTGCCAAAACCGGTTTGGCTCAGTGGATAGAGCGTCGGCCTGTGGACTCAAGGGTCCCAGGTTCAATTCCGGTTAAGGGCATGTACCTTGGTTGCAGGCACATCCCCAGTGGGGGGTGTGCAGGAGGCAGCTGATCGATGATTCTCTCTCATCCATGTTTCTAACTGTTTATCCCTCTCTCTTCCTCTCTGTAAAAAATCGATAAAATATATTTTTTTTAAAAATTGTATGGCAACTAGACTTTAATAAAAAAAAAAAAAATTTAAACTTGTTTTTGTATTCCCAAGTCCAAGTTAGAAGAAAATGATGAGAATTACTTAAAACCTGCACATTAAATAACAACTCTATAACTATTTAGGGCACTAAAACTGGGCAACTAGCATAAATAAGTAGGGCCACTCTATGAGGTAAAGTTTATGTGATACTTACAGAGGTATCATAATTTCCAGGTGGAGCAATGTAAGTTACAGTCCCTCTGCTTCGTGGGGGTAACATGATTTTGTGTTTGATGAGTGAATTTTCATTGACAATTCCATAAATATCTCCACCAGTGATGTGACTACCAACCTAGAGAACAAATGCATTTGTTGTTTAATGTTCAAATAAACATCAAGTAGACTGACCCTTGATATTCTTTAAATCATTAGCTTCACTTATCAATAAAATGTATTAGTTCTATAATCCTAGTGGATTTAAAGAAAAATTTACACTATGCTTCTGTGGTCTATTTTTATTTGAATGAAGAGTACAAAATAATTCACTAAATATCCATTTTACATTCTTTCACCAACTTTAAAAATCTGGATTAAAAGACATACCCGTAAGTTTTTGCAAGGTGTAAAATCCCATTTGATATCTCTGCTAAGAGCAGACACATTTACTCCTCGAGGAATGTAGATACTTTGGGTCTGATTGCTGATGTCTGACAAAGGTCTTTGAATACCATCAAATATGGCTCCCATAATGCCAGGACCAAGTTCTACAGAGAGGGGTTTACCAGTGCGGAGTACAGGATCTCCAACAGACACACCAGCTAGAATCAGTAGTTGAGGAAAACTCCCTAAGAAAGTTTAGAGATACTATAAAAAGGAAATATCACAGTTTAGTGGAAAATGATACTTGAGCTGAAAGATGGTCAAACTTTCTGTTTACAACATTCTTAGTGTTTTAGTAACATTTTCACAGTGACCTATAACAAAACTCCTATCTAATAATTCCATTTATTAAATAGTTATCTCCAAACAACTTTATTTATATATATATATATATATATATATATATATATATATATACAACCAAGTAGCACTTTGAACTATACATAAATAGAAAAATATATTTTAATTTCATTCTTAAATAAACTCAATTCTTACAAATGGGATATATGTGACTGTTAGGCATTTTACAATTTTCAAACCTTGGAATGAGACTGAATACCTGATCCATATTCAGCTGCACAGAGTACTTGCTTTTTAGTGTAGCAATCACCAGAAAAACAGCTTCGATATATGACATCATCGACAAGAATATAGTGCAGCCAAGTAATAAAGCCTAGTAGCTTTATTATCTCAAGCTACTAGGTCACATGGTGTCTGCCAAGATGTCTAATATTCTTGTGTTAACCTCAAAAACTTAAAACATCCTGGGAGTTGAAGTTGCCCAAAGTGTCTTGATGCAGTTTGAGATACCATAGAACTGAAAATAGAAACAAAAGTTTCTCTTTAATACACTGTTTCAACTATACAACTTAAGAGCATCAGTCCCCTAAAAAGAATATTAGTTCTTAACAAAAAATTAAAATCTTAAGAATTAAGTTGTGTATGGTGTTGTTTTTTTTTTAAATAAAGCCTGCAAATAAGCACACTGAGTCCTCCTTGAACTCATTTACTTGTTCATAGGCGTAAAAGCAGTACAACTTTTATTGACACCAATTTAGCAATATCAAAACTAAAATGCATAAATTTTGACCAAAAAAAATCTAACCTCTGTGAGTTCATACTATAGTTACATTATAAATGAGTAGAAACAACTAAAATTTCTATCATTAAGATATTAATATACCATACGAATTATGGTATATTCATATGATGAATTCTATGTAGCTGTAAAAAAGGAATAGGCACTTCTATGAATTGCTCTAGAAATATCTCCAAGGTATCTTTTCATTTCTAATAATTAGTTATAAACATTTGTAAACCTATTGCAAAGCTGAATTTTACAATGTATTCCATCTATTCTACAGGCTAGATTCTACCATTAACATTTTACTATACTTATCACATATCTATCTTACACAATACATTTCTTTTTAAGGGGAGAAAAGTACATATTGATATTGGTTCATAAATGCAATTAACAAACTAGAAGGCTATATAGTAATAAAAATTAATTAAAATGGCTACATGCATGCGTGTGTGTTCTGAAAACTGGCAAAATACAAGATGACAAAAGTGGGGAGAATTGTCACCATATACCTGTTCATTTGTTTATTTTAAAACTGCAAACCATGTAAAACAACAAATAAAAGATAACAGTAACAACAGAAAAAATTATTTGATTAGTCATGATTTCATAGCCACAAAGATTTCTCATTTTATTTCAAATTTTCAAATGACTTTTTTTTTTTTTTTTAAATTAGCACAGTACTCACACAGAGAGAAGTTACTGGCAAGCATGTATTTTAGTATGACAAAAAAAAAAGTTGTTCCAAATAAATCTTATATATCGGTAGCTAAAGAATTAATGCTGATCCTGAGAACCAATCTAAGTAAAATACACAACTGATGTCCCTCACCCCAACCCCCCCAAAAAATAAACAAAAACAACTGCTTTCTCTTCACAAGGCTTAACCCTTTATCTCTTTATTTTTTATAGAAAAAATGAAAATAAATTCTATGTTTAAAAGCCAAAATTATGGTAGCCAAACTAGTCAAATAGTAAATATTCTCCAGTACTAAAGTTATCATGTGACACATCACCCAGCATTGTTTATTAGAATAAAGATAGAATGGTGACTGGTTTACTATTATAAACAGAAATGACTGGAGACTTTTAACCCATATAAGTTCATAATGCCATTCTGTTTATGATTTCTTCTATAATTTGTCTCCCTTTAATTGGTTTCCCCTGAAGTTTGTGAACTACTGAAATATTAAGGTAATTCATAAGATAATACTCATTTATTAAGAAGAGCACTAATTCCTAATAACTTTCTTCAATATACTTCCGTATAAATCAGATTTCTAATACCAACATTTCATGCTTCTGATACCACTGGTTGTTCTGCTTCTACCTTTGCCATAAATCCTTAAAATATGACTTGTAGAAAGTGGAAAAAATTTACCAAAAAGCTCAACCAGCATTAGTGATTAAGCATTGACCCATAAATCAGGAGGTCAGGGCACATGCACAGGTTGCAATCTTGATCCCTAGGGTGGATGCGCAGGACGCAGCCAATAAATGATTCTCTCTCATCATTGATGTTTCTATCTCAATCTCTCTCTCTCCCTCTCGCTTCCTCTCTGAAATCAATATATATAAAAAGAAATTGAACCAAAAAGGATACAAGTTTCTTCATACACCTGGATAGTGGCCATGTCGCCTTCCAATCGGATAATCTCTCCAACCAACTCGCTGTGGCCCACTCTCACCAGCTCATACATGGCTGCGCCTGACATTTCAGAGGCTGTAACCACTGAGGGGGAAAATAATGCATATTTTGATGACTTAAGCTTCTGTGAATAGTTATAGATAATTAAAATATCCAGTAAATCCAATGAAACAGCTATCTTAGATATTCATAAGGAAAATAAAACACCCACTATGAAGCAGAGTTTCACAGAAAGATGCATTTTTAACATATGATATATAGGGTCACAAAATAAATTTATTAGGCTAAAAATTATACATTTATAGAATACTAGAGTTAGGGGCAAACAGGCTGGCAAGGGAGGGCAGTTAGGGGTGACCAGGCCTGCAGGGGAGGGCAGTTAGAGGCAAATGGACTGGCAGGGGAGCAGTTAGGCAACAATCAGGCTGGCAGGGGAGTGGTTAGGGGCAACCAGGAAGGCAGGCATTCGAGCAGTTGAGAGCAAGCAGTCCCGAATTGTGAGAGGGTACAGGCTGGGCTGAGGGACACCAACCCCATGCACAAATTTCATGCACCAGGCCTCTAGAATACATATATATACACACACACACACACATTTTTATTTATTAATAATCTCATTTAATTCATACATTAGTTTGGTTTCCTTTAGTTTCTTTCCCATGAGTTTCTTAAACTTTTTTTCAAAATACTTAAACCTTTTAATTCATTTTAAATTCATTGTCTACTAAGTCCAAAGATTGGGCTTCCTCAGTGATGCTGTCTTGTCTATATAATAATAGGATAATATGCAAATTGGTCAGGATGCCCTCATGTAACAACCGATCAGCAAGCTGCATCCCCGACCCTGGCAACGGGCTCCAGGACGTGAGGCTCACGTCCCCACATCCGGCAACAGACCTGGAACCTGAGGCTCGTGTCCCCACTCACCTGGGCCGGCCCGGGGGTGCATGGAGAGGCCACTCCGCAGGCCTCTACCGTAGCCCAGGCCAGGGATCTGCAGGCCTCCCTGGCTCTGGCCTACCTCTTTGGGGCAATCCATTGAGGAGCTCCAGATGGGTGGGCAGGGCCTACCTCTTTGGGGCAATGGATCTCGCGGCTCCTGCATTGTGACAGGGCACGGGCCAGGCTTGGGAACCCCGCGCCCCTCCCCCCCAAGTGCATGAATTTCGTACACTGGGCCACTAATAAATACATATATATATATATGCAAATGAAAACTATCAGTCACTGTGCCTCTTCATATATATCTGAATCTCTATTTTTTATAAGTCTTGTAACAGAATTTGTACTTACTATTTTGGACTATATATATTGTCTAGTAAGAAAAGATTACTTTTCTGGCAGGAAGGGAAGCTTGCAGATTTTCGTAGAGATAGGAATAAATCTATTTTTAATATTTAGCCTTCTGATAAAATTGATTAGAACTATGTATGAGGCAATATTCAAATAAAACTATTAAAGTATTAAAATTTATTAACTTGTATTAGAACAATGTATTTATTAATTTTATAAATACTTACCTTTATACCTACTATATAAGACTTAAGATGCATTGAAATATCAGAGATAACTAAAATTTTAAATCATTTTTATCAACCAAATGTATGCCATTTCTTTATCTTATTAAGTACTGAAGAATTAGAAATAGGTTCAGGAATTTGCTACAAGCTTTAGAAAAATATTTTTACCTAAACTCTTTTGATGCTGTCCTTTTTTCCTTTCCCTAAAAGTTCTTGTGTATAGCCTTTCCTAAAAACTCTTTTGATCATCAAGGGGAAACTGTTTCTCTGAATGGCAATAGAAATTAGAAACTGAAATGCATTGTTTGCCAATGAATTAAAGCTCAAACAGAAAGTTCTAAGTGATAAAAGCTTCCAAGGGAAAAGTAAGAGGCACAGTGACTGATAGTTTTCATTTGCATAAAGACTGAGATATAAGAAAAATGGATTTCCACTAAGAATTATAAATCAATGAACAGGTTTATTTCTGAAAACTGTGAATCAGATTTTGCAGTAGGAGTGTGGAATAATAAAATGAATACTAGAATGAGATTGAAATACAGCAATACCCCAGGTTTTAGCAAAATGAACATAAACTTTAAAACTGGGGTGGGGATTGGTAAGGTATATAAACATATAATACCTTAATAAAAAAAAGTGAGAAAAAAAAATAAAACTGCTCTCCAGCCCTAGCTGGTTTGGTTCAGGGCATACAGTGACGGCCTGCAGACTGAATGGTACCAGGTTTGATACTGGTCAAGGGCACATGCCTGGGTTGCAGGCTGAATCCCCAGTAAGGGGTGTGCAGGAGGCAGCCAATCAATGATTTTCTCTCATCATTGATGTTTCTATTTTTCTCTCCCTTTCCCTTCCTCTCTAAAACCAATAAAAAAAATTAAATAACTAAATAAAACTGCTCTCCATTATCAGTGTTCATGTCATGAAGCTTTTTTTCCACTGCTAGCTAGTTATGTGATTCTGAAATAGTCATTTAAAAGAATTTATATATGTAAAGAGTTAAGGTTGATATGACTGAGAAATGCTCTGAAAACATTATTAAAGCTCAAACCAAATTAACCAAATTAACATATTTATTGAATGCTTATAATTTGCAAGGTATCACATACTAAAAGCTATAGCTTTTTCACCTCAGATTTAACACCAGTGGGTTCCCTCGGCCTGGCCTGTTGCTTCCTCACAATCCAGGACACCTCAGAGGATGTTGGAGAGCCAGTTTCAGCCTGATCCCGCAGGCCAGGGCAAGGGACCCCACTGGTGCACAAATTCATGCACCGGGCCTCTAGTAGCAGCTGTAAATCTTTTGAGGACAGAATTTATGTAGACGAACAGAAACTTCTGCATTTCCACCTGAAACACCATGAAAATTCATTAATTGAAATTAGGAATCTTTACCATTTAGATTATGTATTACTTACCTGGCCCTGAGACCCCATGCACATAACCAAATGTGCTTTCTTTATCTTCATCACGTATTTTTGGTAGCTTGGAAAAGTCCATTGTGTTAATTTACCTAAGGGAAAAAATTAGGTCATAATTACAAACCCTAAAGCAAAAGAATCAATATAGGTAGTCAACACTAATTGATGGTGTATTTTGAGTTATTATCACTTCTTCAACGTAAAATAAATTTTTTAAATGTGATTAAAAGTACCTCATTCCTGGATGCTCTATAATTATTAAAATTCAGAATTATATATCCCTATGAAAAGTATTCCATAAAAAATACTGAGTATAACAATGTGAAGTCTTCTCAATGGTTTATCCAGCCCTACATCTTGCCCTCTCCCCATTATATTTCTGCCCATCTCTCCAATTACTTCTACCCTTAATAATTCTGCATATGCCCTAACCGGTCTGGCTCAGTGGACAGAGCGTTGGCCTGTCCACTCAAGGGTCCCAGGTTCGATTCAGGTCAAGGGCATATACCTTGGTTGCAGGCACATCCTCGGTAGGGGATGTGCAGGAGGCAAATGATCGATGTTTCTCTCTCATCGATGTTTCTAACTCTCTCTCTCTCTCCTTTACTCACTGTAAAAAAAATCAATAAAATACATATACATAAAAGTAAAAATAATTCTGCATATACAGGAGTGGGCAAAATTAAGTTTACCGTTGTAATAATAAGTAATACAATAATGTACTCACAACTGTAAATCTACTTTTATCCACCCCTGTATACACTGAATTCCTTGCCATTTCTCAAAACATTCCTTGCCATTTCTGCCTCAGGATCTTTGTATATGTTGCTCCCTCTAACTAGAGTGCTTTTATTGTGGATATCTGCTTCTTTATTTCCTTCCAGTCTCTATTCAACTGTCCCCACACCAAAAGGCTTCTCTGCCCATCTATTTAAATCACAACATAGCCCTCTCTTCACTGCTTTATCCTCTCTTGAGAATATTTTCCCAAGAAAATAATTTGCTTGCTTTTTAGAGAGAGTGGAAGGAAAGGAAAGAGACACACAGAGAGAAACATTGATGTGAGACACACTGATTGGTTGCCTCCCATGTGCACCCCAATCAGGGATCAAGCCTGCAACTGAGGTACATGTCCTTGATCAGAAACAAACCCAGCATGCTTCAGTCCATGGGATGATGCTCTAACAACTGAGCCAAACCAGCTAGGGCACATTTAATTTTTAAAATGTATTATACACCTTTAAAATTTTTCTGAAAGCACTTTTCTTTTTTTAGCAGAACATGAAAACTTTTAAGTAATTCAGTTCAATCTCTGTTCTTTATAGATGTGCAAACTGAAAAATGTAAAGAATGAACTATTCAAATCCTAATAGAAAATTGGAGGCAGATCCCAAAGCAGAAAGTTTATTTTTGACCACTGGTCTAAGTTAAAAATTAATGATGTTTTGCCGAAACCGGCTTGGCTTAGTGGATATAGCGTCAGCCTGTGGACTGAAAGGTCCCGGGTTCGATTCCGGTCAAGGGCATGTATCTTGGTTGCGGGGAACACCCCCAGTAGGGGGTGTGCAAGGGGCAGCTGATCAATGATTCTCTCTCATTGATGTTTCTAACTCTCTGTCCCTCTCTCTTCCTCTCTGTAAAAAGTCAATAAAATATATTTTAAAAAATTAATGATTTTTAATAATGAAGATAAAATACATGTACATATAGCCGAGACCAGTTTGCCTCAATGGATAGAGCGTCGGCTTGGGGACTGAAGGGTCCCGGGTTTGATTCCGGTCAAGGGCATGTACCTTGGTTGTGGGCATATCCCCAGTAGGGGGTGTGCAAGAGGCAGCTGATTGATGACTCTCTCTTATCGATGTTTCTAACTCTCTATCCCTCTCCCTTCTTCTCTGTACAAAATCAATAAAATATATTTAAAAGAAAATACATGTACATATAAAAAGCTAAATTATGCCCCCAAAACAACCATAAAGTAAAAGTCACAGAGCAATATGTAATAAAGTGCCAAATCATATAACTTATCTACTAAAAATTGAATGGTTAGAATGTTTAGGGAACACAGGTTGAAGGTGAGATAAAATTTGGATAAAATAGAAAAAAGGTAGCAAAGGCATTTCATAAAAACAAAAGAATAGATAAATTTATAAGAAGTTAACAGACTACAAAATAAAAAGGTTATATTAGGACAACAGTGAGAAATAAAGATACAAAGGTAAAGACACTTCCTAGTGGGTCTTGAAATGAAATGCCAAGTAGATTCGAGTCTACAAATAATCTACACTAATAAAAGAGGAAAATGCTAATTGACCATTCCTTTGCCACACCCACAGCCAATCAGAGCGAGTATGCAAATTAACCCAACAAAGATGGCAGTTAAGTTGAATATGCAGGTGCTGAGTGACCTGGGTCCCAGGAACATCCTCTAGACCCAGGCAGCTCCTAGCCTGTAGGCTCACGCTTAGGCCCTGAACTGCACGGGTCCCAGAACATCCCCTGACCACTCTAAGCCTATGGGTGCAGGGATCAAGTGGCTGGGGGCAGGATGGGAACATCCCTGCATCACCATAGTGACGCGGGATGTTCCTGCCCCGCCTGAAGCCACTTGCGAATGCTCCAGCACCAAGCTGCGGTTTGGGTCCATGCCCCCAGCCTGGCGCCCAGAACAGGGGGGATGGCTGCTGGCCTTTGGGGTGTGTGGAGACCCCCGTAGCCACCACTGAGGATGTGCCTCCAACCAAGGTACATGCCCTTAACAGGAATCAAACCTGGGACCCTTCAATCTGCAGGCTCATAATCTATCCACTAAGCCAAACCAGTTTGACAGTAAATACCTTTTCTGACAGCTCATTAGCTAAGTTCCCTGTAGGCTGCCACTTGCAATGTTCTTGGTAACTTGGGTTATAAGAATCCAAGAAGGTGATCTAAGGTTTTTCCACCACACTCCTGGAGGAAAAAATAAAGGTCCGCTACTGGAGGGGCTAAGAAATGTCATATCCTGCCTAGCTGGTTTGGCTCAGTGGATACGAGCTTCAGCTTGTTGATCACAGGGTTCAGATTTGAATCTGATCAAGAGCATGTACCTTGGTTACAGGCTCCTCTCTGGCTGGGGCCCAAGTCAGAGGCAACCTATCAAAGTGTCCCTCTCACATTGATGTTTTTCTCTGTCTCTCCCTCTCTCTTCCACACTCTCTAAAAATCAAGGGAAACATATCAACAGGTGAGGGAAAAAGAAAGAAAGAAAAAAAAAGAGCCGAAACCGGTTTGGCTCAGTGGATAGAGCGTCGGCCTGTGGACTGAAAGGTCCTGGGTTTGATTCCGGTCAGGGGCATGTACCTTGGTTGTGGGCACATCCCCAGGAGGGGGTGTGCAAGAGGCAGCTGATCGATGTCTCTCTCTCATTGATGTTTCTAACTCTCCCTCTCTTTTCCTCTCTGTAAAAAAATCAATAAAATATTTTTTTTTTAAAAGAAAGAAATGTCATATCCTATGAAAGATACATCTTGGAAATGCCTAAAGAAAGTTGTCATTTTTTTCACAGTGAAGGGACTAGAGCTGTGTTGATGAAAACACGTTGCCGGCTGCAGTGGCTGGCAGTGGCTACAGCAGCAAGGTAATGCAGCTGGTGCGTTCCCTTGATCAGCCTGGTCTCCTGAAATCCCTCCAGGGGTCCCAGATTGGAGAGGGTGCAGGCTGGCCTGAGGGACATCTGCCCTGCATGAATTTCATAGGCCTTAGTCTCTATAATAAAGAGCCAGGGTGTAAGGACTGATCACGACCAAAGGCTGACCATCTACTGCCGCTGCAGGCCCGGTGACCCAGCAGTGCCTGCTGAAGGGCTTTGAGTCAGGACTGGAAAGAGATCTGAAGAGAGAAGCAGGGACTGATCTGTGGCATCTGAGGCAGTTTTTGATCAACACTTGCCTCTCTCTTTTCCTCCGAGCCTGGCCAGCAGCCCCACGTCCATTTCTCTCCAGACTTTCCTTTCTGATCAGGCCCCATTGATAGGCCCAGAGACGCTAACTAGCATAGAAACCGGCCAATCAGAACACATTTCTGGAAGTCAGTCCTGCAGTCAGTGCTGGGTTGTCATGGGGATCCAGCGCTGACTACGTGGCTGTAGGCCCAGTGACCCAGCAGTGACTGCTGAGGGGGCTTTGAATCAGGCCTGGAAAGAGAACTGAAGAGAGAAGCAGGGGCTGATTTGAAGTGTCTGTGGCAGCTTTTGACCAGCACTTGCCTCTCTCTTTCCCTCAGAGCCTGGCCAGCAGCCCTTCCTCCATTTCTCTTCCAGCCTCCACCGGGGATGCTGATCAGACCTGCCTCTCTGATCAGGCCCTTTTAATAGGCCCAGAGACACTGACTGGCATAGAAACTGGTCAATCAGAACTAAATCTGGGTCAACTGTGAGAAGGCAGTTGCTGCCTAGGAGACAGAGCTTTTGATGCTGACTGGCATAAAAACTGACCAATCTGAACCAAATTGGCCAACAGAGGAGGGCAGTTGGTGGCAACCAGGTTGGCAGGGAAAGGCAGGCAGTTGGGGGTGAGATCAGGCGGGCAGGAGAGGGCAGTTGGGGGCGAGATCAGGTTGGCAAGGGAGGGCAGTTAGGTGTGATCAGGCAGCAGAGGCAGTTAGGAGCGATCAGGCAGGCAGGCAGGCGATCAGTTAGGAGCCAGTGGTCCCAGATTGCAAGAGGGATGTCTAATTGGAGAGGGTGTAGGCTGGGCTGAGGGAACTGCCCCTCTGTGCACTAATTTCGTGCACTGGGCCACTAGTCTATAATAATAAAGCATAATATACTAATTAGACCAGACATTCTTCTGGACGACCTTCTGGATGAAGTGGAGCTGCAAGGGAAGACCAGGTCCTGGGTGCCAGAGAGAAGCCTGTGCCAACAGCTATGGGAAGACCTACCCTTGCCTGAATTTTGTGCATCAGGACTCTAGTCCTATATAATCAAGAGCTAGTATGCTAATTACACCTGATAACAGAATGACCAGTGGATGGGCTGGGGAAACACCCCCTCCCACACCCCCAGGCCTCTAGTCCTAATATATAAAAGGAGAGGCAGCC